GTGATGCTTGGGCCTTGACCGCGTACTTCCCAGGGGGTAACAGCTGCTTCTTCCGTGCCTATTTTTTGGTCTTCAGGTTCTCCTCGTGCTTGTTGAGCCTGCAGTGCAGGCACATGCTCTCTTGGGCTGCAGATCGAGGGGCTTGTACTTCTTGCCCTTGCAGAACATTCTGAGGTTCTGTTTCTCAGAATGGTTAATGACAGTGAGAACAAGGGTGATGGATTGTGGACAGCTCGGCTGTTGGAGAGTTTGGACCTGCCACCTGACATTGTGCAGCTAGGAGAGATCCACCTTCAGGTGGTCCAGCTGTTTCAGCAGCTCTTTCTTCTTCTTGCTGTGAAGGTCCAGAGCCGTGATCTTGCCCATAGCTTTGCAAGCAGCCCTCAGCTGCTACCTGCTCTGATGGCCTCTTCCATTTTTAAGGACACGTGATTATATTGGGCCTGCTTAGATAATCCAGGATAATCTCCCTATTTTAAGGTCAGCTGATTGCCATAGCTTTGCAAGCAGCCCTCAGCTGCTACCTGCTCTGATGGCCTCTTCCATTTTTAAGGACACCTGATTATATTGGGCCTGCTTAGATAATCCAGGATAATCTCCCTATTTTAAGGTCAGCTGATTATCAACCTTCATCCTACCTACTACCTTAATTTTTCTTGGCTTTGTAGTATGACATATTCACAGGTTCTAGAGATTAGGAAATGACCAGTTCTGGTATTATCAGCCTACCACACATCCCCTTAGCCGGTATGGTGGGAAAGGGTGAAGTGTAGGAAAACAGCAAGAAGAAGTGGGAACTTAGAAGTAAATAGCCTCTGGCTGGGATGGAACTACCTAAATACTTAAAGATCATGTCTGAGGTAATTTGCATCTGCACTTTGATAACCTGGAAAACCTCCTCTTAAGGAAGCGTAAGTATGCCAAACCTGGAGTCATAAAACCTGAGCATTAGTCCTAGCTCCACCATTTAATATTTATATCACCTTTAGCAATTCACTTAAGTTTGGCTGAACCACAGTCTCATTTTCTTTTTCTTTTTTTGAGGGGGTGGGGCGCAGCTGACTGGTGTGGGGATCCAAACGCTTGACCTTGATGTTATAACACCACACTCTAACCAACTAAGCTAACCAGCCAGCCCCAGTCTCCTCATTTTAAAATGAGGGGGTTGAACTAGATTATTTCTTGGGTAGAAATAATGCAGTTTAATGTCACTATGATTCTACATAAAGTAGAGAGTGTTTTTATGGACTCGATGTCAGTGGGCTATCAGGTTAGTGGGTCTAAGCACCAACAAGTCCCCAAAGGAGGGATGGATCCTTCCCCATGTTTTGCTTATTTTATTCTTATTCGCTTTTCTCCCCAGAAGGAGACAATAAGGGGGAAAAAATAGCCCATCAGGCCCTTTGTCTGCCCCACTACCCCTCTCCCCAGATCAGCATTAGACAATAAGCATGGGATATAGCATACTATGATTGTAAAATATACTTCAGTTTATAACTAGTATGAGATGTTGCTGTAATCTTTGAAAGGACATGTCTAGACAGGCAGGCTTTCCTCATTTGTCTATTGTAGGATAGTTGCGTCACAGTTTAGCAATAGATACGTCCGAAGAACATAAGGATTTTTCCACTTTCACTCTAAAGCATTAGCAGGTCTTGATGGCTGTGGTAGACAGGATTCTAAGATGGCTGACAATATTCCCACCTCCTAGTATTATGTCATGTATAACCCCTGCTTGTGGGGGTAGGTTTAGGAATATGCTGGATTAGTCATTCCCATGATTAGGTTACATTACATGGCACAGTTGCCCTTAAGAAAGGGAGATTATCTTTGGTGGGCCTGGCCTAATCAGGTGAGCTGTTAGAAGGGACCAGCTTCTTCCTGAAAAAAAGAAATTTGAAGTGTGGGAGAGATTCAATCCAAAAGAGATTCTCCGTTGATGAATTTAAAGATGGATGGGGCCAGGGAAAGTGATCACTAGTAGTGGAAAGCCACAAAAAAACAAGGACTTTAGTCCTTCAGCTACAAGGAACTGAAACCTACCAACAACAGGCATGAGCTTGGAAGTGGATTCTTCTCCAAAGTCTCCAGATAAGTACTCATTCTGACTGTTACCTTGATGTGAGACCCTGAGAAGAGAACTTAGTTGAGCTGTTCCCAAGCTTCTGACCTACTGAATTGAGGGATAAAAAATGAGTGTTGTTTTAAGCCTCTAAATTTGTGGTAATTTGTTATGCAACAACAGAAAATGAATAAAACAATGTTATTCCAGTTAAATGTGTTTTCATATTTTTTTTAAAGAATTTTTTTTCCTTTTTGCCTTTCTTACTATCTTTCTCCAAATCCTTGGTCTGTTTTCACACCATGCAGTTATTTTATTGACTATCATTGGAAAATGCATTTTGTCAGATTAAAATCTTCTCTTATATCACTTATCAGAGTTATCTTTTTTCTCTTCTCATGGTTGATTTGAGATGAGATGTATGAATCTCAGGTATATTATATATATGTTTAGCACTGAAGAATTAAGCCAGAAAACAGATTTCAAGAATTAAAGCAAACAATCTGTGTATGTTTAAGTGACAGATACGTTTCATCTGCTGTATCTAGTTATCTTGAAACGTAATAACCTTGACGTAACAGTTGAAGAAAAAGGAGAAGCAATGTAAACATAAATGCCTGAACATTTTAATATATTTTATCAATAAACATTACCAGAATGCCATGTATTTGAATCCATGCTTTTCCTAAGGAAACCTGCATTCTATCTTCTGCTTCCTGATGTCGCAGCTGGATCCTATTACAAGGGTAGGCTGCACCATGGAAAACATGCCTAAACTTTTTAAACTACAAAAGGAAAGCTGATCTTTATTAATTAGATGTCTAGATTATGCAGATTGACCACAATATTATTACATATAACATGGTGAAAAACACTGTTATGTGGTGTATTGATAGCTCCACTTAGGTAATTTAGCTAAGCCTTATTTGCTAAGATATTGTATTAACCACAAAGGCAGGATTTGGTGTCAGGTCAAAAAATCAGATCAAACTGTGACTTTGTGGTTGATGGTTGAGAGAATGCTCTACAACAAAGGCAGCTGAGAACACAGTACGGTGTCGTCCTAACGTTTAATTCAGGAAAAATGTCATCTCCAGTACAGCTTAACATAGTACTACTACATAATGCAGATATGTGAAAATATTAACAAGTCAATGATTCATAACTAAGACTCACCATTCAAAACCCATATTCTCTGCCTTTGTGAAAACCGTAGAATTGGATTAAGAGAGAAACCACCTAATTTTAGATTTAAGCAAATGTGGACAATGGGTTTTAAAATGAAGGATAAGTCTGTGAATCACAAACCCTCACCTGAATAATGATTAGCTCTTTCAATAAAAAGGAAGAACTCAAGAAAAAAAAAATACTTCAAAGGCCATAATCTGGAAAAACTTCAAAATCTGGAGAGCCAAGTAAATCATGATTTAGCTTTTACCAACTTTAACCAAAGTCTTCCCAGGTATTAAAGTCAGCAATTAAAAAAAAAAAAGCTATTACAAAGCTATTATGTTAAGTAATTATAATCTTTGTCTGCTTCAACTTCTTATACCTGTGTCTTGCCATGTATATAATTATGCTGAGGAAAAACACTCCAAGCTCAAATGAAATAAAGCACTTCAGTTATGTCCACACGGACCTTGTCAAGTAGCCAATGACTTGCCCTTTCATTGTGAGTGACTAATATCAATGCTGGTTCTAAAGAAAGACACTTTTCATAATCGCCCAACAATCTGCTAAGTGAAAACATATGGATAGGCTTAGGCAAAGCCTGCCAGGGTCTTTGCTGAATGGAAAACAGGTGCTCCATTCTGTGCCACGTTCAAGCATTGAATAGTAGTCAGGAAAAAAAATCATTTGGGAGATTAACTAATCACTGTGAATTTTTTTTTGACATTTCTAATGCTTGCTTCCAGCACACAGATTCTTACACTGGGATATAACTGTACATCTCTACTGGAATCAAAGGTCAAGGGCATAAATTAAGATACACTGTTTTTCTCCTTTCTTCAAAAAATTTCATTGCTTTACTATAACAGAAGTCAGATAGATTCTGGTGAAGGTCAAAATCTGGTTATATATGCTGAACAATGTAGAAATAATTAATGATATTCTCTCCCCTGCCTCCTGATCTCACCCTAAGACTTTTTAGATTTTAGGTCTAGAAATGCCCAGAGAGGATGATGTAACAGCATCACTATCCTTCTTGCCATAGAAAGCATTCTTCCAACCCCAACCACTGTTGCAGTGGTGCGAGGTCATGCTAATTCCTCCCTCCAGTGGTCCCCTCTCCCTGGGGGACCACCAATTCTAGCAATCCCAGAAACTAGCTGTTATTTACCATGGTTACTCTCCCCAAACCAACCAGCATTGGGAAATATAAGACTCACTGAATGGGCTTTCCTGACCAAGGAGCCAAGGGGCCTTTTCAAATCTAGGCAAGGGCTGTGAGCACCGGGGTTATTTAAATGTCCTCCAGAGCACTCCACACACATGCATTCTTTTGCTGAGCAATTTTTCGAAAATTACAGATGACAATATCCATGTTCAACTCATGCAGGCTGCTATTTATTTTTACTTCTTCCCCCAAAGCGTAGTCCGATTTGTAATACTCGAGATAGGACACATTTTTGCCCTTCAAAACAGTTGTCAATGCCGTTATCTTCACGAGAGCTATCAAATTCCAGACAAGCTGAATTATTTTTTTTTTTTTGTTCCTGGCAGAAAAATATTTGACCCAGCTCTGGACAAAAGCGAAGAGGATTTATAGCCCTCTCTCCCTCTTTGCAACATGCGGTGGCATTGTTAGGATGATAAACAGCACTGTCCAATTTTCTGGACTCAAACACTTCAACGCCTTTTTTAACTGTCTCTGAAAACAGTGTCATGTCTACATTTCCCCATCCCCAGGTACCCAAGTGCTGGGAAAGATAATTACCTTGTCATCTTTGTCTTCTTCTTCTTCCTCGTCCTCTAGCATGTCCTCCACTACCTGCAGACAGAAACAGAAGTCGTTTTTGTGCTCTTAAAGGAGAGAATTTTGTTCTGTCATTTTGAACCTTTCAGAAATGAAAACTTTATTAACATTTGAAACAGATGCATGAAGAAGGAATATTTGATCTAGAGACAGCGATTAGGAAAATGCTCTGCCTTTAATTGATTAAAACCAGGGACCTGCATCCCAGTCAGGGGAATTCTATTTATGTGAAGTGTTTTGTGACAACTTAAAGAATCTGAAATATGCATAAGGTAAACTAACATTAATTTGGGGGATGCTTTAAATCAGGAAATTTCCTTTCTACCTATTCTGCTGTCTATAATAATCAGGCACTTTAGATTTAGGGCTAGATAACTAAGCATGAAACAGTTCTGCTATTTCTAATTTACTTTCCACCAAACTCTAACGTAAAAAACTATATCTGTTAATTGATTCATGCCTATGGTCTATGGCATAAAACTAACAATATCTTCTATGGCTCAAATTTTAATTATTATGTATAAATGTCAACTCTTGACTATCTATTACTTTTTGATTTTTGCAGATTACCTGAAAGTTTCATTTTAATTCTCTGTGATTTTATACAAGAATTATATTAAGGGAATAGATATTATGAAGCAAAAATTAGAAATGTATTCTATAATCAAATGTGTACAGGGCCGGCCCCGTGGCGCACTCGGGAGCGTGCAGCGCTTGGGAGCACAGCAGTGCTCCCGCCGCGGGTTTGGATCCTATATAGGGATGGCCGGTGCGCTCACTGGCTGAGTGCGGTGCGGGCGACACCAAGCCAAGGGTTGCGATCCCCTTACCGGTCACGAAAAAAAAAAATGTGTACAGTGTGTGTGTATAACCCAGGCAGGTGGATATGGATTCGTGTACTCTTTTAATCACTCTTAGATCGTCTACTTCAGCAGAATGGAATAGTCATTTTGGATTTGCCAAATAATTTCCCTTTGCCTTGATCAATACATAACCGCAGGCATTAAGAATGGAACGTCATTCCATTTCAGTTGTTTATGATTTTACACATGTACACAAGCATACACAAGTGCACTCCATGGATCCAAAAATGTTTTAAACTTTGGGGAATGTTGTTATTCAGGTAAGTCCCAAATGTATTTATGACATTTGATACAGTTTCTAAATTTCTGTAGTATTTTCCTAATTGAGTCCAGATATCTATTTCTGAATAGACTCAATAGACTCATAGAATCATGGTTATCAAATATTTTAAAACCTTTCTCCCAAAGCTCATAACTTCAGAAGAAAGAGACACGTAGCCCTTCTTTCTTTTTGATATAAACAGGAATATTCTGTGAGTGAAAACTCCAATAAACAAGACTGTATTATACAAAGAGTTACATAAACTGAGATAACATTTCAGGACTCTCAGTTATTCCTTATAATTTTTCTCAAATATTCTAAAAGCCATTAACTGATTTAAAAGAATAGCCAAAATGCAAACCTCCGGGTCTCATGAATCAATATATAACCCAAAGTATATGATGATCTGTGAGATTGTTTCTAATTTAATGTCATACTTTAAGTCTTCTGTGAAATGGTAGAATTTTGTGTTTTTTCAGTTGGACATTCAACATTTCAAAAGTATCATAGTAGCACCATATGCTGTTTCCAATATCTAATAAGAGCTTACACTTTCTTTGGGAACATATACAATGATTCAGCATCAACATTAAAGATAGACTCTTGCATTCTCTCTAAACATATTCAGCCACCCCATACACATTTATTTATAAACCTCCTTGTCAAAGGCACACAGTGCTAGGTAATATGGGAACACAAAGATGAATAACACAGATGCTTTGTGTATAGCCCTATCAACCCTCAAGAGGCTTACAATCCAGTAGGTTTAAATGGGGCCTATCAGATAACCTTTCATGTTGACTTTCAACTTCCCCAAATTGGAATCATTCACATTACAAATAACAGACAACAATAGCAACAATGTATAGTTGAGGTGACATATATGCCAGGCTATTCCAGGCTATTGTGACAGAGGTTTAAAAAGGAAAAGCAGCTGCAATATTTCAGTGCATTATGTTGCAGCAAAATAATTCACCCAACCCTCACACGATTTTTTAAAATGGTTACTATTTTGTACCTCTAATAAAATTATCTTTAAAATTTTAGCTTTAGGGCCGGCCCAGTGGCGCACTGCTACAGTGCGCCACTTGGGAGCGCGGTGGCGCTCCCGCCGAGGGTTCGGATCCCACATACAGATCGGTTCCTGCTCACTGGCTGAGCGAGGTGTGGGAGCAACACCGAGGGTTGCGATCCCGTTGCCGGTCCCGGTCCGGTACGGGCGCGACACTGAGGGTTGCGATCCATTGCCGGACACAAAAAAAGACAAAAAGGAAAAAAAAAAATTTTAGCTTTAAATGAAGTAGTTTCTTTGCTAAAATTATCCATGCAGTCATATCAAATATGCCAAGGAAAATAAAACAAATATACTTTTACTCCTATGAATAAATTCAAGTATTGTAACTAGTTATTATTAAGAATGTATTACATGCCTCCTCTCTGCAGTACTTATCACACTGCAGGTGCTATGAAAGAAGAATGGCATTGAACTAGCAGATTGAAAGGTACATAATAGATGTTCAAGAAATATTTGCTGATTGAGTGAATAGATTAATACATCATCTATTCTTCATGTCTTTGAACATACTTTTTGCTAAAGGACCTGTTATTTTTCTCACAGAACTAACTTAGCTCACCTGAAAAGACATATACCTAATCAATGATGCAGATTAATAAAAGCAAATATTCAAAATGCTTTCAAACATTTGCCTGGAAATAAAACTGATGAGCATTTAACCTTTATTTTAAGATTTGGAGATCTCCACTATCTTCAAATTAATATTTAAAAATCTAAAATATGATTGAACCATAAAACAAATCACTAGCTTAATTTACACATTTTACAAATCGGCTGTAGATCTTATGTTCAAGTATGACTCAAAGAGGTCTACAGAATCAAGCTCTTCATTTGCAAAACCCTAACTGTTCTTACCCTGCACAAGTGGGTAATTGGCTATGCACAATTTCTCCACAAATGTGCCGCCAGAACCACCCAATACAACCATTTGCTTTTACATTGGCAGAAAAGTGTTGTGTTAGTGAGAGGCCTTTGTGTTGCGTTTTAGCGCTCTAGTGAGGGCTTTTCTCCTCCTCTGGTGCCTGTTTAATGTTACATCATAAACATCTACAAGTGAGGATTTATAATACAGATGGTTTCCTATTGATGCCTTAAAACTGCTTCAGAGTGTATTCCACTATCACATTTTGCTCAGGTGAAGCGTAAGGTGCCTTGGAAAATGAAGAGGATAAAAGCACCTATCCCATAGTGTTGATTAAGGAAGGATCCGATGAGAAAATATATACAAAGTACTCAGCACAGTTCCTGTAAGTACTCAAAAAATGTTAGCTATTAATAAACATAAATAACCTCAACTTAATATTTTAAACATTAATTTTTAGGAATTAAATCATATATTTTTCCTGGGCAAAATATTCTGTGTCCTAAATGACATACAAAATTCTGATTCATGTTTTCATTGACACTCAGAAACACATACAGAGGCACAGGTAGAGATGTGGATGAAGATTCCAAATTAAAATTATGATGCTTTCACAACTAATCGTCAGGCTTTAATGGTCCAGTGAAATGGATGGCTTTGAGGACAAGAGTGTCTCAGAAGCTGAGCTGTGCTTTAAGACATGAGCTCTAGCCAAATGCAATGAACATAGAAACTGCAAACTGAGCTTTAAAAACAAACTGTATATATCACTGAAGTGCATTTAATGACGGCACAAAATTGTAACCTTTCCCAGAGAACTCAAAAAACACCTGCTATTTAGGAAGAGCATGCTGGAGTTTAACACTTAACTAAGGAAAACAAATAAAATAAAGGAGTTCTAGTCTCAAATTCCAGCTCTTTCCTCTTCGAATTAAACCAAATAAGCACTACATAGTTTTGTGTTCAAGTATACAAAGTCCAGTTTCCAAAACATTTGTCAGCAATAATTTAATAACAACACATTCACAGGATTTCCTTGATTGGGGGAAAAATAAAATGAGTGACGAAAAATGCATGTGTTAGAAAAGATAGTCTCAAATTCCAGCTCTTTCCTCTTCGAATTAAATCAAATAAGCACTACATAGTTTTGTGTTCAAGTATACAAAGTCCAGTTTCCAAAACATTTGTCAGCAATAATTTAATAACAACACATTCATAGGATTTCCTTGATTGGGGGAAAAATAAAATGAGTGACGAAAAATGCATGTGTTAGAAAAGACACATTTACAAAATCAGTTTTTTCTCTTTTTTCTTAAGGGGGAATATCTTAGATCGACTCTAGAATTCTCTTTCCAAATTATGCTTTCTGATACCTTGCTTGAAAGCAAGTAGTATTAATCAAACAAAGGAAGGGCACTAGGGAAATCAGAAAGATGTAATGCAAGCAGTTAAAAGTGACATGACCTTCTGTAATGTCGCTCGTCACAGACTTATATGCCACACACTGGAGGAAGGTCTTGAAAGAAGCTGATTCTCGGTACTATTCCTTGAATGTAATACTAATAAAGATGACATTTTAAAAAACACACATAGACAGCCCCAAATGCAGCACGCCAGCTACATTACAGCCAAAGAATAGGCAGATAACATTATTTTAAAAAGCATAATATTTCCTCTTCCATATTCAATATTTGCTGAACATTTGTCATTAACATATAAAATATAACATGTGGCTGTACATTTTAAAAATCCATTTTTAAAATGAAATGACATTGCATCTACAGAATCTAAAATATCTTACATAGTTGTAGAGGAGCTCTTTTCATATTACAAGATTTTTAACTGTAACAACACAAAACACTTTGTGATTTGCAAGGAAATAAAATGTTATTTGACGAAAATATTAATCATGATGTTGATAATTTGAATAAAAATATGACATCACCTTTAGAA